TTCGAGGTCCCCCACTCCTCTGGAGGGCCCGGGACCATGGCAAATGCATTCAGGATGAGGAGAGCAGGAAGCTATGGGCTCACCGCACTTCTGGCAGGATCAACAGCGGAGAGGAGAAAACATAACTGTGGTATTCCCCTACTTACCTTCCCTGCATGAGAATCATTCCATACTGATCAATAGTAAATATACCAACCATGAGTTATAACAAAATTAAAATCCCTTCCTTCTCTCCCTTATCACCTCTCACCTTGCTCCTCCCCTCCCTTCTCTCACCTCTCTCTTCTCTCCTCTCCTCTCTCACCTCTCACTCTCTCTTTTCATCTTTCTCCTCTCCTCTCTCTTCTTTCTGGTCTTCCCTCTCTCGCCTCTCTCCTCCCATTTTCTCTCCTTTCCTCTCTCATCACCTCTCTTGTTTCATCTTTCTGCTCTTCTCTACTCTGATCTCCTCTCCCCTATCTTCTTTCTGGTCTCCCTTCTCTTCTTTCCTCTCTCCCCTCTTTCTTCTCTCTCACCCACCCCCCTCCTTTCCTGGCCTTCCCTCTCCTTTCTCCTCACTCTCTCCTCTCCCCTCTCTCCCCTCACTCTCTCCTCTCCCCTCTCTCCCCTCACTCTCTCCTCTCCCCTCTCACTCTCCTTTCTCTCTCCTCTCCCCTCTCACTCTCCTTTCTCTCTCCTCTCCCCTCACTCTCTCCTCTCCCCTCTCACTCTCCTTTCTCTCTCCTTTCCCCTCTCTCTCTCCTCCCCTTACTCTCTCCTCTTCCCTCTTTTTCTCTCCTCTTCCCTCTCTCTCTCTTCTTTCCCCTCTCCCTTCATTTCTCTCCTCTCTCTCTCCTCTCCCCTCTCTCTCCTCTTCCCTCTCTCCTCTCCCCTCACTCTCCCCTCTCTCTCCTTTCCTCTCTCTCTCCTTTCCCCTCTCTCTCCTCTCCCCTCTCTCTCTCTCTCTCTCTCCTCTCCCTCCTGTCTCTCTCTCTCTCCCTCTCTCCTCTCCCCTCTCTTCCTTACTGCCCCCCTCCAGCTCTCTCTCTGGACCCAGATCAATCATAAAATGGACTATGGACACTATTTGTGATGTAGATCCCCCCCCCGCCCCATTATCCGGTCCTGGTTGGAATGATTCCTTTGTCTATGTCGGATCCACCATGTAGAACCCTGAGCACAGATCACACTCGGATCATCTCCCTATGATGCTCTATGACGGCTTCTTATCTCCGGCGCACACGCTTATAATTATCAGAATTCCCCCATTTCTATTGTTTGTGTGCTTTGTATGTCCGTCCGACACTCATCTTCATCC